TACCAAACATTCTCTGAGTGTAAACAGCTGACAATATTAAAAGAGATGGCTGCCTTGCCAAAATTCCCAAACTGTTGGCGCCAAAAACGTGTGTGTTTGAGGGTCGTAGATGTACATTTTAGCAAACTAACGTGTGTCAGTCAGCTTACATTTATTATCTTTGGGCTGCTATTTCTTGAGTCCTACTGGCAGCTTTAAGTCCAGTGTGTATTGAAGACACAAGTTGGAACGAGGAATAGCATATGATTAAAAACACATGTTGTAGAGCTAGAATTAGCAGAAGATGATGTATTGAAACATTTAAGTAACTTGTCAATATATACTTTGTGGCTTTTAGCCATTTAGTATGGTAATACTTAACTCACACAGTACTGGCAGGATGGGGAAACTAGTTTAACCTCCCTTTATTTGGATTTGGGAGCACATTATTATATGATACAGTAGCAGTTTGTTATCCTTGTAGTTACACAAGGTTAATGGAAAGTGTGCGTAAATTTGCTATTTGTATTGTTTGATATTTTTGTAGTGATTTGTAAAACCATCAAAATAGCTCCTTTTTAATGGGCTGAATTGATTGTACAGCAATGGATTTGACTGCAGTCATTTTGTTGCCAGTTTGTTGACATTCTGATAATTGTGTTTGCTAAGTGGAAGATATAAGTGTCAAAAATACCAGGCTGACCTGGCATAAGCGTTTTCAGAGCTGTAGTAGGTTAGGCTGTGTTTAAATACAGATTTTTGTTGGACAAAAAGCAGCCCACAGTCAGCAAAACAAGGAAGCACTTCCATAAGTTTTAGTGTCCTACGTCTCAAATCTGAGGTCACATTCGTTAAGTCTGGATGCCCTCCCTCAGTGAAAGATGTGCATATCTTGTCCCCGACAAGCTGTAATACCGAGAAACTATAATCATGCTGTTTGTTCCAGAAGATTCCACTTTGGGACAAATACCACAGCTGTTCAGTAATCCCCCTTTTGTCAGGCAGTGTAATAAGCCGGTGTGCCCTATTGTGCAGTTTGAGTTCATAACTGCAACAGTAAAAAGCCACTATCTCTTCCTGCAAACCCTGTGTATTTTACTGTAGGGTACAGTCAATGTGTAATTGTATTCAAATAAATGACAAATATATGACTAAATATATATGTGCATATATATTTCAGATACCCAAAGTGCAACTTCTGGGATGGTGTGCTCATATCGAGCTAATTGTGTTACTATTACCAATAAAAAGAATCAAACCTTTGTCCACCATTGTTCTGACCACTAACGCCGTATTGATTATAATATATGTAATTATCCTGTATCCTTTAGTTCACCGGGATAGTTTCAGTCGCAGATGCTATTAATCAAGTATCTACTGTCGGACAGGCAAGACCAGACAGGACTGTCTCAAAGGCTGAGGTGATCTCTGACTGTGAATATGAATCATCTATTCATCACATGCACAGAAAGACAGGATAGGAGCTCCAGTATATTGTATTCAACGTTTTCTTTGTCATTATGTGACACAAAAGATGAAATTTGTGTTTTTTTCCACGTAAACTGTTAACTGGAATTGATTACAACGAGGTCAGTGCATTCTGTCGGTTTCTGCCACTTTCTGAATAACCTATTTGCAACTTGAATTACTTTCTCTAGGGATATATCTCGTATATCTCTGGAGTTACCGTATATAGCAACCAGTAGAACACCGCATTATCAATAAGAAAAATAATCACACGTTGCTTTTTTATATAAAGCCCAAGGACCAACAACTGCCATCCACAAAATGCTGTGAGATAAGTTGCAAGTGTCGCAGAAAAAAACAAAATAACAAAACAACTCTCTCCCTAAACACCCTGCTGAGTCAAAATGTGATTTGGAAACTGCACTGCTGTCTACAAAGTGTGAGCCATATGGTTAGTAAGCAACACCATTCTCTGAATATTAGATTTGAAACAAAACAAAACATTTTCGCTTTATAACTGTCACAGATTAACCATCTCGTATAAAGGGACATGCTAATATTTAGGGTCATACTTACATTTTGGTTTTAACACGTCATCTTCTTATACTCTGTCTGAATAAACCTGTATTGACCTATCTGAAACGGCCAGTTTTAGCTTTTGTGTCTGGAAAAGTCCATTCTGCTCTGTTTGGCTTGCGAGAAAGATATGGTGCCCCTTAGTTTTCTCACACTAGGCTATGAATTTGTTTTGATGTTTGATCTCATACGGTAGTCATGCCAGGAACCAGAGTGCTCTTCTGTGGCTCCACCAGGATTGGCTCCCAATCAGTTTGGAGCCTCATCCTTGATGCTGACTCACTTGATGTGATGCCGATCCAAGTTGCCTGAGTTTTCTGCGGAGCATTTACAGCATGCAGTTGCTTTATTCAAAAGCTCAGCTCGTGTCAAAAATTGTGAAGATGACTTGGGAATTGAACACATTGTTAAAGGAAATGTGTACAATGGCCCCCCATCAGTACCATCTATCTATTGACTCATTTACTCTGGCTGTCTCTGCTTCGTAAAGTTACTCCACTGCTTATTTCAGGTATTACTGGCAAAACCTCACCTCAGTAAGTTCATGACTTGCTGCACATTGGTTTAGTTTATACAGAAGTTAGCCTGCTACAACAGTCCCAAAGGTACGCATGAACATGGCCGCCGCTCTGGCGATCTTGCTACGTTGATTTGAATGGGACTGCCCGTTCTAATCCCATTCTATTTCTATGGTGAATGACATCTGATGACAGGAAGACAACATTGACCCAAGCTGTTGCCTGGCAATGCAATTCTGTTAAAACGCTCGACTGAGCAAATTTATCATGGTTGAAATTGAAGTCTCGCAATGAATGTTCAGAGCCAACGCACACAGCCACAAGTCAAGAAGGTGCTGGATGCAAAGAATTGAGAATCAAAAGAGATCAAAACATCCCCGTGCTCCATTGCAAATACTTACTGTAATAATACACAAATAGTTTATTGTCAAAGCTTTTGGTCACACAGACCTTCATCAGAAATAAGTCTACAAAACAGGCAGAATCATTTCAAAATGATATATGTTAAGATCAAAAATGTGATATAATAAAAACAACTTGAATTGGCTTTTTGATGTGGGCGTGTGTGTGTGTGTGTCTCGTGTCCACTAATTGGATGTTATAGGAAATGTGAGAATCTGTATCTTGTATTAAGGGATTAGTGTCACTTTTATCAAGCTCTTAAAGAGTTCAGTTACAACCCTAATTAATACTGTAGAGAGTCAATCGGAGGAGCATGGAAACCAATTCCATGCCTTCACTAATGTCCATTATTTCTTTTTCCATTGTCACTTAAAACTTTTGAAGCTGGTTCAGGCTTTTTTCTTTACATATCAAGGGACTGCAAGCACATTATTTCATTGTTATTTTATTCTTGGAGTTTATTTATTGTAATATATTTCTATTATTCTCTTTGCTGAAATAACTGATGACTCATTTAAACACAGTTTCAATTCAGAATGTTGGCAGTTTTGTAGCAAATCAAATAAGAGAAGTCATAACATTTTTGTATTATAATGAAGCATATTGCGAATTGTGCTGACTGTTGAGCAAAGACTCAGAATTGATGTACTGCCAAAGCGTGTGCAGTATCAGTGGAAGCAGCCACCCACATTCATCTCTACCCACCTATAACTGAACATTCACATCAATATATCTAGTTTTTCCATACAGTCAGTGCAAATATGAAGGTAGTTACTGGCTGCATGGATTATGGTGTGAAGTGCTTGCAGTGCAGTAAGCGTCATAGATTGGTGTTGCGTCTCTAATGAGCTCTTTAAATCAAACTCGAAGGTTAACAAAATTGTCAGTTAAACAAGTTGAATCAAAGAGTCTGTAAGCTTGTGAAAGTGAACTCCGTCAACTGCAGCTTCAGCGGTAGTATCAGTGACCAGACTTTAACATGTAGCAGTGTTCAAACTACCTAATGATCCAGGCTCCATCTCATTTGTAGTCATGAGTTGGAGGAGAAGACACACTGGAAGACTTGTACCCTTGAAGTACAAAAGATCCACCGTCCTCTCCCATTAAAATGATCACCGAACAAAAAACTAGGTGAAAGTGACCGGGACACGGAGAACAGCACTCTGTGATTTATTGTACTTTCATTGTGAGATGACTCTGGTCAAGGTGCCCCTGTCTCAGACTTTTAACTGATATGTCAGTACATTTCTGAGATGCAACCAGTTGTAGTCAATTGGGAAGTGAATTCTTAAAGATGTGCCTTGTGCGGCTGAAATTAAAATTAATTAAATGGTTGTTCATTCCATTTTCCAAACTATGAACAAAACATGCAAAAAAATTAGTCTTGTTCTCAAAGAAACAATAACTCCTAGGGCAGCTCACACTGCACTACAGACATATAAGGGCACAAATAAAGCCTCTCTAACAGTACAAATGACGTGATTTAAAATATTCTGTATATAGATATATACTTGACAATAGACTATACATTTACATTATCACTGCGCTTCAGAGTTTCTTAGTAGTTCAACTTAATTTCCACATAACCTGCAGTCATGATGTGGGTGGGTGTATCGTATACACAGTGCAACTCCATCTCGTAAGTGAAGACTTCTGATTGACCTTACCGTTATTAAATCAGCTCCCACTCTTAGGACAAACAACTGCATTGTCGTGTTGAATTCACATCTTTTACAACACAACACTTTCTGAATTAAATACTTGAGCGCAAACAAGACGCCTTGCAAAATACGCACTCTATCTCCAATCACCAGAGCTCTGATCAGGTGCGAGCTGCGTCTCTGATGAGCATATATGCATCACATTAAATTATCTTGAGGGAAATAAATGACTTCGTACATTTGTGGAGCACATATATGCAGCAGCACTGCGTGCTTGTATGATGTCATTTCTGAGTGGCTGCCGTGCAAACACATTTATCTAAAATGTCCATAAATGTGACATTATTCACTGCACGTCTAGTAAATCTGTCTAATCACATTTCCGGTTTCAATGCAGGGGTGGAGGGCATGGAGTGCTCCCTCCCCATGGATGGCAGACGTGTTTCCCTGACCCAGCTCTCCAAGGACAGCTTCCGCGAGTGCCAGGCCACACTGACTCTGACAGACCTGCTCATCATCATTTTCTCTGGCATCTCCGTGTCCGTGGTGGCCATCATGACAAGCTTCTTCCTGGCTTCAACCGTTCATTGCTTCCAGCGCTGGAGCAAAGGCACCAAGGGTGACGAGGAGGAGAGTGAGGAGGGTTGAACTTTAAGGGTCCTGTGGTCCTGGTACTTCAAACAATGAGAGGACACCGCAGACTGTGCGACAAGTTTCATGTTGTCTCCTCCCTGGTGCATACCCAGAACTGTTCAACGGTAGGATCTCGCCCTGATACGGTTGCAGTTGTTTCCTTTGCACATGAAATATGGTAACACAGGACATGAGCCAAAGTCCCAATAAAAATTAGCAGGTGCCCTGCTCCACTTGCAAAATGATATTATAGAGATCGTATTTTTGGCTGTGACAGCCTGTAGTCGTCTTTTATGGCTGCTGGCTCTTGGCTCAATGTTGTAGGTCTACATAGATATAGTAAGAACAACACCTTTATAATAGAACAGTGAAGGATCACAAAAAAAAAAGAGATGTTGCTGCAGTGCTTTCACATTAGTATTAGACAAGGTGATAACTTCTCAACATGTAATCACATTAGATTGAAATCCTGTAAAGTGACGTCAAAGTTTTAGATGATTTTCATGGAGATTTTTCTGCGTGGGGCAGAACCCGTAACCCCGTAAAAAAAGGATGTCATACCGACCAATGACCTCAGTAATTAACTGCCTATACCATGATATGCTGGCATATCCTGCCATTTACAGTGTCTTTTTTTTTCGGAGCCTCACTCAAATTCCACTACTGTTGGCAAATATTGTTGTTCCTTCTGCATGTGAAATTAAACGAGGGCAGAGGTGTCAGTCGAAGAAGGATTTGGATGTCGGTAAGATGTTACTGCAGGTAGCTGATATATTGTAGGCAGGAAGAGTTTCCAGTGGGTCTACACATTCGTTCAGCAGTATATTCATTATATAATCACAAATATATGTACAAAAGAAAACGATGTACACTCAAACCAAACATTTAAATCAAAAGGATGTACTGTATGTTCCTTAGATTGATATCTGTGACCTATGTAGAAAGATAAAATAAAAGTATAATCTTAAATTACGGCAAATACGGTATTAAAATAGAATTTACGTAGAAATATAGCGTCAAATAGCGCATCTTTATATGGTGAACCTAATATTAGCAAGCCCCTAATTACACTATGTAGACTGGTTTTGTCTTCATCTGCCAAAGAGTAGGTTTAGGTGAGGGAGAGATTGCATACAAGGACTTTGTTGTGGATCTGTGATTATAGTGAGGTAGGGAAGGCGGCACTATAGCCAAATCACGCTTTGTATACACATATTATACTCAAACAGTCATGGTCTCCAAAGATTAGCGTTTCCTTCTAGAACCAGCTGTATTACTTTACTTCACACATGTGGAGTCTTCACCTTCAACAGGGACTTCAGAGCAAATCCAAGGTTTGTCACTTTTTGGAATATATAATTTAAGATATCCAGAATTGATACATCGTGGACTCTCAGTCAGCTTTTTCTCCTTTTAAGAAAATATCTTCCAATATCTTGTGGTGAAGATGCAGATTTGATGTCCTGGAAAAGTCTCATAAAAATCTGTATCAACAGCATCAGCATTCACAAGAGCGGCAGTACAGCGCAATCTAGATTAAATAAAGCTGCGTCCTGAACATTATGGGTTCCGGTTTGTCATTTGCATCCTGTATGTTTAAATCCTCCATTAGGATTTGGAAGGCTCAAAGCTTTAAAAAGGGTATGTTGTATTACTTCCCACATTCTTGTAAGGCATGAATAATTCACCGAAATTGAGATATGAACCAGAAAGAATGTCAAGCCCTTAAATGCAAACAAGAAGACAGGAAAAGAGTTCTAATTCATGTGTGGTTAACAAAAGATAAAAAGGAATTCCAAATGCCGTGTCGGTTAAGAACAATTCATAACACTCAACGTGTAGCATCAAGAAGCACATTTTGCATCAATGACGAGAAATAAATATTTATTTTTGTTATTTTTTATTTGCATCAGCATCAAGAAAGCACAAAGATCTCACAGAACACTAATGTGATTCTAATACACTCTTTTAAATGAAGTGACACGTCACAAATTGGTACCATCCTCCTGTATTGTCACCGTTTGTTTTAATGTGTATCGTCACATGCTGTTTTGAAAATGTCGCATTCTATAAACAAGAGTTGTACTGTATGAATGTTTGGGATCTGCCAGAATTCAAACGGCTACTGATTTGAAGACAAATCTATTTGAAGGCACATTTATGGGCTAAGCTAATGGTACATTTCAACATCAAATTAAGTGCAGTCCTAAAGGCTGATGCTAATGAATTTCATTTCCGCCATTCAGTATTTCTTATGACGACAAATAACCTAGAAATTCACATGGAGCGAATGAAGGTGTGGATGGGACGTTTAGCAGCTCCACTCCCAATTAAAAGGTACAAAACCGTAATTGATGTTGTTGCATTAGAGGGAGCAGGTTCCCATTTTTGGAAAAAGAAAACCATTTGAAATCTAAATACCACAACAATAGCTAAAGGGAATTCATGAAATGTATTGGTTTCCCCCTCCGCAGGTGAGAAACTGCTTTCTTAACGGATATCTGGGGGTGCAGACTTCAGTCAAGGAATCAGAGGGGAAGTTTTTATACATATCATTATCATGTCCAACTACTGTGTAGTTACTGTATAACAACACATTGTTATGTCAGCTTAGCTGTTAGCTTGAAGCATATGTTAGCATGACACTTTTTTCTTTCTCTTACTCATTTTATTAAGTAACAAATATCAGCACATTAGAGCATGCACTGTTGAGCTATCTACAGTATCAACTTCAGATTTATGTCTATTTTTCTATTAAACCTTTCAGAATGAAGAATTTATTTACTCTGTCAGTCCCCAAAGTCATGTTCTGGCATTGCACACCCTGAGAAAGCAGCTTGTCTTGACATTGCTTAATAAAATACCAAAATCCATGTTACCGTACGTTTTGTCAGATAAATGTCAGAATGGCTCAAATCTAAATGAAGTGACAGAGACGAGCGTGACCTTGTTGCTGCAGCTGAATGCATTTCCAAATGTCAAACAGACCATAATGTGTAGCTGTATATATTGATGTTTGGTAAAAAAGAATTACAATAAAATCCTTTGTTTCTGTCTTCTGGTCTGAACTTGTATCAGTGTGTCTAATAGGCAGCGTGATCATTTATTATTAACGTGATATGTCAGCATACATCCTGCACATACCTGTGATACACACCAACCTGCTGGAAGTCATATTTAAATAAAGGGCTGCCCTACATGCAGAGACTGACAGAAACAGTAACAGTGGGAATGTGATTCTCATACCTTCATATCTACTGCTTAGTGTTAATAATGACTCAATAATAATTCAGAATCTCTTCCTCTCGTTTCCTGGAGCTGACAGATTTTTGTCTCGACACAGCAGCAAATGAGAGCAGGCTCTTCAGTAAACACGGCTCAGTGTGTCATTTCACACAACACTGTTGTGTCGTGTGAAATGACACACTGAGCCGTGACACACTGCAGGTATTCAAATGGCTGCACTATTTTTGGAAGGGGTGTTGGAGAAATTAGACTTAAAAATCAAAAAGTTATCCGCCTGCATTACAATTATCCGGCCTGCTCACGGACATCGTCTTACAATAAGAGTACAATAAGAGTTATGTGCATTAGGACAATCTGCATTAAATGAATTGGCATGCAATTCTGTCCCTCAGCACATGGATATTTGTTTCCTGGCTGCCTCCAGTGTCTCTTTATGTTTTTGTTGCAGCGTCATGTTCTTCAGCTCACACGAGGCGCTGCTCTGAGGATTCACTTCTTCGGTGGACTGTGCTTCTTTATTCTTCCCTCATGCTAATGATTCATTTCTCCACATGAGGCGGTCTAACGCGATGGTGTGCTTTTCTGCAGAAGTCTGACATCAAAAGAATCACAGGATGAAACCAAACTTCACCCTCAGGGTATCGACAAAAAAAAAAGCAGTCAGGGCAGAGAACAATAAGCATAGAATCATTAATGAAGATGTTTGAGATTCCAAACAGGAATTGCCACATTTGGACTGCGAACAGCATTATGAGAAAGACTTGCACATGCTGTGTAAGTGCACCACATGTGAAGAGGCCTGTGAGGGTGGTGGTCGTGATGAGGATTCTCCTGCAACCATTTACCTCATTTGGTTGTCATGGCTACACAGCCGGAGGCCCGAGCACTTGGACGCCGAGGCGGGAACAGGGAGAGGGAGGGATGCTGGGAAGCATGGCCCTCAGTGAGGCTGCCTCGCCTCTCTTTCCACGCATCAACTAACTGGACCTGGCATTTCAAAAACGGAAGAAAAAATAAAATGTCCACAGCTCTGTGACCCTGTGAACCCATCTGTGACTTTCACATCCATCTTCCCACTTTGATTTGTCTGATAGCTCAGATTAGGATATCCATTTTAGCAGACGCGTTATTGTTAGGAGAGCACTGTATGTAGTAATGCCAGTGAATTGGGAAGGATCATCAGAGACTGTTGAACTTTTGCGCCTCAACAGTGTGACTATTTTGCTCCGAGTACAATTGGTTTATTGTAGCTGCCCATAAAAAATGGCGAGAGATTGAATCAAACCAGGTCCCTTCATTCCTACATAAACAAACAAAAAAGGTTTATAGTTTTAGTTAGTTCTGTCATATGCCAGACACTGAACAATGATCATGAGGTAACCAATAATTGAATAATTAAAAATTGTGTTTTGGAAAAAAAAAGACTATTTATTCATTTATATATATTTATTTATTTATTTATCGACGGTCTCTTGTTACCATCTGTTCCTGACCTACAGAGAGAGGAAGCGAGCAGGACAGAGAGGAAAGCAAGCCAACCCAAAGAGAGGAAGCTTTGAATGAATAATGGCCTGGTGGCTTACAGTGGGATTAGGGTTTTGGGGAGGAATGGGCAGCAGAGGGGGTCAGGTTGCAAAACTCAAAAGCAGCCACACCTGATGCTTCGCTCTCTCGCTTTGGATAACTGACAAGCAGAATGCTCACTGGTTTCAGAGAAGTGCATGGGATTTGGTTGGAGTCAAGATTGGGCTGTCTTCGCCTACACTTAACCTCCCTTCTTCTCGTTCGTCCTAATGTTTTAACACCTATTCACACATACAGTAACTAACAATTCCTGGTTGTCTGATATCAAAAGGGCACTAGTGCAGTGACTTTCAGCAAACATACGTAAAAGTATTAAGTCACTAAGGGAGAGCACTTGTTTCAGAAAGACTGCTCTGTTCTACAAATAAACCGATCTTCAGTGCGCATTATCTCTTTGGATCCGGCGATCCATTTATTTGCAGTTCGACATCAACGTAGCGTTATGTAGACAGCAGCATTGTCCATATGCCATCTGCAAAATCAGCAGAATCAGATTTCAAATGCCGTTATCCTTGCCAGCCCAAGTGAATCAGTAAATATCCTTAAATTTGTCCAAACATCTCACGAATCTGCTCTGCATGAATACACACCTCAGAATGTCCCACTGTCGTTTAAATTGAATCCGTGTTGCTCAGAATAATGTGAGAAAATGAAGACGAGCATTTTGCCACCACCTGGTCACAATTTTTGGCAGGAGCATTGAAATATCATTCGCAGCAGTGAGGGCGAGAGGTGGATCGGGGACACAGCAGCCGTGGGCAGCCATGAGCATCAATGCATGCTACTGGCAAACTGCTCATCCACTGCACCACAACACACACTGGCAGGCTGGCGGACTCACTTACCCTCAAATTGTATTTCTTATATTCAGAAAAAAAACAAAGATATCTGAAGATGTTGAAAGAAAAATGATTAAATGAAGAATGAAGTAATACAATCCCCTGATTAATCAACAGCACAGTTTCTCCATCTAGCCCTGTGTTGTTCAGGTCATGGTTGAGCTAATGTGCATCTGTACCCTGATCTGATTTGTTATTTGGTGGGGGTGCAAATACTGCAGCTGTATTTTACATTGGAGTTAGTTGCAAGCCCGCTTGCAGACACTAAAGAGTGCGTCCATGCATCGATGTCAGACTTCAAAGAGCACTGAGGAAGCTGCGGTAAATGACACATTGGAAGTGAGAACACGTTGGGCAGAGATACACATGTCAGACATCACGATGGATGTTTATTTCCACCGAGCGGTGTGAAACATAATCAGACGCTGTAGTTTACAAACACACAGCATTTGATAAACTATAACATGAAAGCGCCACTTCTTAGTTGTTTATTTACCCATGCTGATATCAAGATAATGAATTCATGTTTTAAAGCGCAAGAGAAAAAAATCGGGGGAGAAAGTGTTTACTGTAATCACCCAGTGGGAAGTCGTATCATCCTGTGATTGATGTGTGTTGAACTGGAGAAATTAATCCGGCACAGCAAACACATTAAAGATGAATGAGGGAAGAGCAAGCTGGTAGCACCAAGATCTCAGCATCGCTCATATTGACTCACTTGAGGCCTTATGAGGTCATGTATTCATCAGAATCCGAGCAAAATACTACATCTGTATGAAGAAGCTCTTCTTCGGCAGGGATGGCAGAAACAGTTATGGCCTGCAGTTATATTGTGGCATCAGGAAACCGTGGAGGAAGCAGTGAAACTCAATAATGGTTTAGAAACATCTGGATGCATCTTGACCTATACTCATTTGTCATGTTACAATAATCATCCTCTATAGAACACCACTAAGGCACTGATGTAAGATGCTCTATTCAATACGGGCTTGCAATAGAGTAGAGCTATATTACTGTATGTTGTATTTTAATAAATAAATAAAAAACACCCATGATGCTGCAGCAGAACTTCACATCCCTTTGACTTATCCTCTTTGATTACTGTTACAAAATGACAAAAGAATAGAGAGCATCTCTCACTGTTGAGAGCCGAGCTGATATCTCAGTTTGTACATCCTTGATTCCTTTCATCGCCTTGATGCCTCCTCTCCTCTCGTCATTGTCCCTCCTACCTGAGATGAGAGCAGAGGAGGCGAAGCAGAGACAGAAGGAGAGAGGAGTTGAGGTAACATGTATTTAACAAAATGAGACATCCGTGCTTCGGAGCTGTCATTTTATTGGGATGTCCACAAAATATGACGTGAGGCACAGCTGCATCATCTGTCCATTGTCACACCTCTTTTATACGTCACGGGTACCAAAAATACTCCGGTGCATCCTCCCTCATAGCTCCTCAGTCAACACATTCTCACTCCCAATTTGTCAAATACCGACGCTTGATCAGTGGCATTGAGCTTCAAACTATTACGTTAGCTTAAAGTACAGTACTGTCGGTATTAGCCGAGTAGGGAGTGAGACCGGGTTGCGTCCGTCAAGCCTACGGTCTCCTTGCTCCTCAAGATGCATTTTAGGAATTGAGACATCCTTGAAAATGGCACGCTGAGATTGATTTCAGGTATCGGGCAGGAGGTTGGAGGAGACGAGGGGCCTTGTGAACCTTGTGTAGCTTTAAATTGTGCCATCAAAGGTAAATAGTGATATGTTACTCGCCTTGGCTCACAAACATTTAGAGAAATCATAACTTCTCTTCTTTCAATTCATGTGTCAACAATACATGCTTTGATTAAACACATCAAAGTGTGATTGACCAGGACATCTGGAGAGAGGAAAAAAATTCAGAAGTTTGTAGGAAACTATTTATAAATCGCAGCGAGAACAACTTATTTTAGTGATATTCTCTACATAAATAGGCTTCCGTTTGGCCTACTTAAAGTTCGAAGATGGATTGGGTTTAGTCAGCGACAAAGCTCTGGAAAGTAAATGGAACAAAAGGAGATTGGAGACAGGTCACATTTGTTCTACTCTGCGCTTCACGCGGTGGAAAATCCTCACTGTTTACACTTCCCTTTCACAACATCAGAGATGTCAAGGCAAAGCCTCAGCTGTGACAGTGTTCAAACATACGGGCTACAGCATTTTCCATACTTCCATACAGGGCTGTCCGCCATGTGAAATCACTGAGATGAATTGTTGCTGATGGATAAAAAAAGATTCCAAAGTTTCCTGAGAGCTCTGAGAGCGTGTGCACAATAAAGGGTGCAGAAATAAAGACAGTTAGATGCAGACACCTTGGAAAGGTTAACCTTGTTTGGTCTCCTTCACTACGTCCTGGTTTCCGGAACAATTAATACAGGGTAAGGGAACATGTGGGCAATGTACCCAAGGACTGCCAGCGGATTGTTTCTGTAGCGTGTGATAAAATGGGAGGTGATGATGCAGATGAATGGCTTCATCAATAACTAGCTCAACAGCATCTGTGCAGTAGATTCCTGACAGAGTCAAAACGGTTTATCAACCGGCAGTTTAAACCTCAAACACAAAACGTGTAATCTTGAG